GGGGGGGGCAGCTTTCCCTGATAAGTAACCTGCTAAAAGCCGATCTGAATGGAGAAAAAGCTGTCAGCTTCAGTCCCTGATTAGCTCTAGACGTCCGAGGTCCCCCCTCCCCCCTCCACCACGCCGAGGCCGTTACCAAGGTATTGAAGGGATTTCAGGTTTCACGCTCCATAGTCTAAGTCACGTGCATTGCAGATAGATTTGTTGTTTATAAGATCTGTTCTTATTGGAGATTGTTCTTGTGTCCTCAGTGCCTGGAATGATGGGGAACCCAACAATGACAAGGACAACGAACACTGCGCAGAGATTCTGGGAGGACCACATAAAATGAATGACCGGAGCTGTGACAGCAAGATTGGTTACATATGTAAAAGTGCGTGGACTTGCTGAGACGTACCGCATACTGTGCAAAGAGATTCCACATCAAATGAAAGGACGTCTCTCATCTGTGTGCTAGACATGTGCGATTCGTTTCGTTACGAATCGAAATCCGTATGAATTTTCCTGAAGTTCGTAAATTCGGAAGCATCCGAAATCCGAATGGCAGTTTCCGAATTATATCCGAAATACGAAATTCCGTTAACGAATTTCGGATCCGAATTTCTTTGAAACAGGAACTAATATTACCCCTGTAAATGAGGTTGAACAACATGACAAGATTTTTTTTTTATCCGAAATACGAAATTCGGATCCGCTGCCGCTGAGGGTCTCATTACAATACACAGGCAGGAAATACGAAATTCCGTTGACGTATTTTCGTTCCGTTACGAACATTCGTTATATTGAAGGTAAAAAGCAAAGTACATCTATATTGGAGTTGATGGTAGTTTTTTTTTTTCGGATCCGGAATCCGTTAACGGAATTCGTATTTCGGATAAAAAAACAACTAAAAAAACAACTACCACATCGACTCCGATATTAACGAAGGTATTTTTGCTTTTTACCTTCGTCATAACGAATGTTCGTAAAGTTAAGAAAAATGTGCCGAAACTAAAGAAAATCCGTATTTCGTACGAATCCGAATTGAGTTTCGGACACGAATGACGAAATACGAAATAACGGATATTCCGGAACGGAACGAAACGAAGCGGAACACATTTTTTGACGGCGCACAAGTCTACTGTGTGCTGTCTACCCCCATCCTGTCTGCAGGTTGCCATGGCTTGGTTCTGGGAAAGTTAGGTGTGACAGGCGCTGACATTCTCTTTGGGGGAGTGTTGGGGGGGGGGGCGCATTGAGGAACCTGGCCTTGGGGCAGCAGAAAGAGTAAATCCGGCCCTGACCGGTTTATAGCTGGATTTTGACTCCACATTTGTATTAAGTTTTTTCTCTCCTCCTATCAATACCTGAGAACTTCAGATCTGGTTACATAATCCCCCAATGTGTGGATATGATGAGTGGTCAGATAGAAGACTGAAGGGAAGGACGGAGGTCAGATAGAAGACTGAAGGGAAGGACGGAGGTCAGATAGAAGACTGAAGGGAAGGACGGAGGTCAGATAGAAGACTGAAGGGAAGGACGGAGGTCAGATAGAAGACTGAAGGGAAGGACGGAGGTCAGATAGAAGACTGAAGGGAAGGACGGAGGTCAGATAGAAGACTGAAGGGAAGGACGGAGGTCAGATAGAAGACTGAAGGGAAGGACGGAGGTCAGATAGAAGACTGAAGGGAAGGACGGAGGTCAGATAGAAGACTGAAGGGAAGGACGGAGGTCAGATAGAAGACTGAAGGGAAGGACGGAGGTCAGATAGAAGACTGAAGGGAAGGACGGAGGTCAGATAGAAGACTGAAGGGAAGGACGGAGGTCAGATAGAAGACTGAAGGGAAGGACGGAGGTCAGATAGAAGACTGAAGGGAAGGACGGAGGTCAGATAGAAGACTGAAGGGAAGGACGGAGGTCAGATAGAAGACTGAAGGGAAGGACGGAGGTCAGATAGAAGACTGAAGGGAAGGACGGAGGTCAGATAGAAGACTGAAGGGAAGGACGGAGGTCAGATAGAAGACTGAAGGGAAGGACGGAGGTCAGATAGAAGACTGAAGGGAAGGACGGAGGTCAGATAGAAGACTGAAGGGAAGGACGGAGGTCAGATAGAAGACTGAAGGGAAGGACGGAGGTCAGATAGAAGACTGAAGGGAAGGACGGAGGTCAGATAGAAGACTGAAGGGAAGGACGGAGGTCAGATAGAAGACTGAAGGGAAGGACGGAGGTCAGATAGAAGACTGAAGGGAAGGACGGAGGTCAGATAGAAGACTGAAGGGAAGGACGGAGGTCAGATAGAAGACTGAAGGGAAGGACGGAGGTCAGATAGAAGACTGAAGGGAAGGACGGAGGTCAGATAGAAGACTGAAGGGAAGGACGGAGGTCAGATAGAAGACTGAAGGGAAGGACGGAGGTCAGATAGAAGACTGAAGGGAAGGACGGAGGTCAGATAGAAGACTGAAGGGAAGGACGGAGGTCAGATAGAAGACTGAAGGGAAGGACGGAGGTCAGATAGAAGACTGAAGGGAAGGACGGAGGTCAGATAGAAGACTGAAGGGAAGGACGGAGGTCAGATAGAAGACTGAAGGGAAGGACGGAGGTCAGATAGAAGACTGAAGGGAAGGACGGAGGTCAGATAGAAGACTGAAGGGAAGGACGGAGGTCAGATAGAAGACTGAAGGGAAGGACGGAGGTCAGATAGAAGACTGAAGGGAAGGACGGAGGTCAGATAGAAGACTGAAGGGAAGGACGGAGGTCAGATAGAAGACTGAAGGGAAGGACGGAGGTCAGATAGAAGACTGAAGGGAAGGACGGAGGTCAGATAGAAGACTGAAGGGAAGGACGGAGGTCAGATAGAAGACTGAAGGGAAGGACGGAGGTCAGATAGAAGACTGAAGGGAAGGACGGAGGTCAGATAGAAGACTGAAGGGAAGGACGGAGGTCAGATAGAAGACTGAAGGGAAGGACGGAGGTCAGATAGAAGACTGAAGGGAAGGACGGAGGTCAGATAGAAGACTGAAGAGAAGGACGGAGGTCAGAAGGCAGTGGAAGGAACTTCCTTCTGGTTTCAGGGGAGCTCAGGCTCAGACTGATTCTGATCCCTACCTGAGCTCATCCCTAGTCAGAATGGGAATAAATCTCTGGTAAAGAAAACCACAATCCATCACGGTGAGATTTACCATTCCGGGGAGCTGCAATATATATGAAATGTTTCCTCCTGGGTTCGGATATCTTTTCATCTTCTCCGAGACAGTTGTCACCAGCACAGGCTTCCACTGCGTATTCACTCCAGGATCCCGCCCACTTCGGATTCCCAGATCCCTCCTCCAGTCCAATCCTCAGGATAGTAAATGTACACAAAATGTTTTAAATGAATTCCTTATTTGCTGATTCATTCTGGATTTTAGTTCACACTGACACGCGCAGTTACTTTGTTACTTGTATTGTGCGGTAAATGTATTGGGGGGGGGAGGGGGGATAAATGTTACGTCAGGAAAAGATACATTTATATCTAAATGTGCTACCAAATTCAAAAGTAAGCCCCGCCCCCTCCATCCCGAGAAAACAAAGTGATATAATAAAGGAACCGAGAAACGATGAGAGGAAACAACATGTCAGCGAGGAGGAGGCTCCGGGACCGGGGGGGCGTGAAGAGCTGCCACATGGAGCCCGACCGCAGACCGCAAGACATCGTCTACACCGTGATAAGCAGATCATCTGAGAGAACAGACGTGAGGGTGAAGCTGATTACCGCTCGGCACTTCCTGTATTATGATAAATGATGATTCCGTTGTAATGGAGAAATCACAATGACATGTAACAGAAGTGACACACAGTATATATATATATACACTTCTATCTGTATACATTACAGTCATAATAAAGTCAAAAGGTTTTTAAACTATTTCTAAATGTTGATGAAATCACTTACCGTGGATGCTGATCCAGCAGAATCAGCCGGTCCTGAGCACCGGTCCTGATATGCTGTTGTAGGCTCCTTTACCTTGCAGGGTCCTATGGAGCCACCCTTGTGTGAGCTAATAAGCTGTGTGTGTCTCCTCAAATGCACAGACACTGCCCTGTCCTTCCACTCCCTCCCTTCCCCCTAGTGGATGGATGCCTGCTGGAGACTGCTCTGTCCCTCGTGATCGTGCACTGGACAGGAAGTTCAGGGAAGCCGAGCTGAGAGAGTTGGAGCTGTTGTTTGGAAACATGATGACTGTAAACGCTTGGGCAAAATGTAAGGAAATCCTTTGCTGTGTATTTGTTTGATCTGGATTCATTTTTGAGAAATGTTTTATTCTGTAACATTAGCTATACCCCACCCCCCCACCACCACCACCACCACAACCACCACCACCACCACCACCACCTTTCAGTAGGGTTCTGTAAAGTGCACATTAGATCTGTATTAGGGATGCACCAATGCCGATACCAGTATCAGTATCTGTGCCGGTACTCCCCCAAATGCTCCGATAACTTCCCCGTTACCGGAGCTTCCGGTCAGAGGAAGATTTCCTCTGACCGGCAGTGCCGTAGGGAAACATGGAGCCAGCTTACTATGCAATCAGGAAGCTGGCCGGTGAGTAATGACCCGAGTAATGACCCGGCTTCCTGATTGGCCGGGAAGCCAGCCCAATGCTGATTTGCTGGGAAGCCGGTTTCCCGGCCAATCGCAATCAAGCCGGCCAAACGACATGGAGCCGGCTTCCTGGGCAATCAGGAAGCCGGGCAGCATGCCATTACTGGCCGCCCAGCTTCCTGATTGACCGGGAAGCCGGCTACATGCCAGTGGAAGCACCGGTATCGGTATTCGGTATCAGCGAGTACCGCAAGCAAAATATCGGAACACGTTACCAAAAAAAAAACGGTATCGGTGCATCCCTAATCTGTATATACTGAGAGGGTTATTCAGCTGGCCAAAGGATCAGCCATAGGTCCGGCTGATCCTTCGGCCAGCTTCGGCCACCGGAGCCCTTCAAAGGGCTGCTGTACGGACTATTCGCTATGGCCCGTACAGCTCCCAAAGGCGGCCAAGCCAAAGGCTGGACGAACGGCTCGAAGATGACAGCGGGGCGGAGCCAGCCGTGATCTCACGGCTGGCTCCGCCCAGTTGTAACGACAGATCAGCGTCCCCAAATGACTCAGGGGCGCTGAGCTGTCATTAAACAATGACAACTGGGCGGAGCCGGCCGTGACGTCACGGCCGGCTCTGCCCAGTTCTTATTTATTGGCCGGGAACTGCTAGAAGACTCTAGCAGGTACTGGCCAATAGGAAACAGTTGGGCGGAGCTGGCTTTCACTGCTAGCTCCGCCCAATTGTTGTTTTAATTATTTATTTACGTTTTTAAACCTTTTTATCTTCTTTTATTTATCAACTATTTTCACTGATGTCCTATTCTGCTGGGTAT